TCGCAGCGAAGATTGGTCGTCGGTTCAGTGGGACCGTCTGAGCAATGATAATGAGTGCCCCCGAAAATAGTCCAGCTGCCCCCAGACCGGCTATGGCTCGGCCAATGATCAGTGATAACGAGTTCGGCGCAATCCCACAGATCAGAGATCCCAGTTCGAAACTGAAAAGAGCAATCAAGTAGACCCATTTTGTGGAGTAGAACGTATAAAGCTTGCCGAACGTCAAGCACAATGAACATGTTGTCAGGAGGTATGCGCTGCCATACCAGCCCACATCTTCAAGGGACTTGAACTGATCTGTGATCTTTGGAATTGCCGTGGAAATGATAGTATTGTCCTAAGCAAGCCAAGGTCATTAGTAAAAATTGTCTTCCAAAGGTCAAGTACAACAGTTATGACCGGCAAGTAATGAATGGACTTACCAAAGCCAGACAAAAGATTGCAAGGGCTAATGCGATGGTAATCAGGCCAAGTTTCCAAGAACTTGGATACTCCTCCTCCTCCTCCTCCTCCTCTTCTTTCTGTGCTTCATCGCTTGGACTAATGTTCGCCACAGACATATTGTTTTCATTCTTTACTTCTGGGGCCAACGTAGGGGACTCTGCCTGTGAGCCGGCCAGCGTACTCCCTTTCTCCATGGATGGTCTTCCCTCCCTTGCCATGTTGTCGGATACCAAACTGGTCGGTGGCGGCGAGCCAAGCGTGTCTTGCAGTTTATTATCCTGCATTATATCTATCGACTTGAAGAATCTAGATGAGATGGAAATAAGAGGTTACGAAAGACAAGAAAAGAAAGTAACGTACATGGAAGGAGCGGTTGATGTCGTCAATCTAACGAAGGAAAAGTATAGAAAAGAAGTAAGAGGCAAGAAGGGTCGTCTTTTTCACAGATGAAGATTAACTTTGCCTGCGAGGTTGCCTTGGTGATATAAGACCGATCACTGATTCATTGATGCCCAGTGCCACGGTGACGATGCCAGAAGAGAGGTCACCCAATCGGTGAAGTGATCAGAAACCTCCGCAGCAGCCTTTCTTCAGTTGAACAAGACTGGATTTCCATCTCGGGTTGCTCTGTACTACATCAAAGGAACGGGATCTTTTCCTCCCGACGCCCGAAGGCCCAAGGCATGCAATTGTGATCTAGAGAATACGCTAGAATGTCAGCTGTCCGCTCAGCTGTCCTTGCTCTATCCCGAAATAGTCATGAGATATCTCTTACGTAGGCACCCGATCCAGATTCGCTTCCTTTCTTGCCACGGAACCCTAGTAATGGTCTGTAATGAAGAATAATGAACTATGGAGTTCGAAAAACAACAAAGAAAGTGGCACGGTCTAGACTACGGACGGACCAGCATTGGCCCTGCCGCTGAGCATTTTAAATAAGATGAATGACCCGCAGGTCTTTGTAAAGTGGACTGACTATCTTTGCAGGTGAATTCCTGAAGCCTCCTTGTATGGGACTTCTCGCTTAGGGTTTTCTGCATCTGGGCTGCAGTTTGGCCTAGCGTGACCAATAAAAGGAAGTCAAAAAAAGGATTTTCTGGCCATTCACAAGAGAACCATCTACTGGTACCACAGTATGAGCGAATCTAGGTATCAACCTTATGTGCTCATGGATGAAACTCTAATGTCAGGTACCGTGATGAGCGGGTATTTTGGCGGAGCCTGGGTTTATATCTTTAGACTATTGTTATCAGCACCCCGAGGGTTGGTCAATGCTCTGATACATCAATACTGCTATGAGACTAACAAGGATGCGGTTAAAAAGGGTTTCAAGAGTAGGATTTTTTATTGCAACATATCATCCGTTCCATGAGAATGCTAGTTAACGCCATGAGAAAAAAAAAAGAATATTGTTACACCCTCCTTCCCAGCCACTCTCACTAACTCCAGGTCCTTTCACAGTAAGCCGTCCCTGCAAATTCGAGGACATGGCCTTCGCCGCATGAAAAGCGGCTAGGGAAGGTGAAGATACAGTAGTCTTCACCGACAGTCCGAGATCACCCATTCAAAATGAACCATAAAAACAAGGGGGAATAAAGTTGAGATCATCGCAAAGTGTTAGTCATAGACCGCTACTGGGCCTTCATCCTGGCTTCTTCCTTGCTAGCCACCAGGGCAATCAACGCCGCACCAACACCACTACCATCCTTCGAGATACCAATGCGCACCTTCTTATCGCCGGCAACGCCTACCTCGGGCACCTCACGCAAGGCGTCACGCATGTATCCCTCAAAGTTAGGGTAGAACTCGACCAAGCTGCCGTCGACACCAACGTCTACCAGATCATCGGTCTCGAGTTTCTTGGTGGCGATAAGGGTGGCAGCAAGAGGCACGGCGCTCAGACGAGCAGCGCGCTTGCCAATGGCATGCACGATTGTCTTGACAGCCTTGCAGTCCGTGGTACTGGCCCCTTCGATCTTCAAGTGGTCCTTCAATGCCGTCTTGGTAGGCTCCATACTCTCGCTGTTGTCCGCTTCAACCAAGCTCAGGAGGCTGGTGTCAAGGCCCCATTGACGGAAGAGCGTAGCGTTTTCTGGCACAACCACATCCGACGAGGCGCTGGGCTTGAATAGACCCAGAGATTCATTGCGGTGCAGATCAACCAGGACACGGCGCAGAATCTCACCGAGGAACATTCCAGAAACTCGCTTCTCGAACATCTGGATGCCAGGGTTGTTGCTCTCCTCATCTAGCTGCTGGTCGTAGACGGTGTTGGGCAAGACACTCAAGTGGTTATCAAAGCTACCCCATTCAGCATTGATGATCATTTCACCCGTTGTCTTATCGTAGTCGGAATGTTCGATCGTAGCCATCTTAGAGATCTTGTCGAGCTTCTCGACGTAGGCACCGTTGGTACCCGTGCCGAAGATGGCACCCAGGAAGGTTCCCGTTTCACCAGGGGAGGTGTATGAACGGGCCATCAGGGTTCCAACTGTGTCATTCACAAGAGCGGCCACGCGCACGGGGAGCTCCAGAGCATCGAGCGCACTTTGCAATAACGCGCAGACATCATGGCCAACGGCGTCGGGAATGTTGAAGCCCTTCGTCCAGCGAATGAGGGTTCCCTTGTTGATACCGACCTGGCGCACGGGGAAACTGAAAGTGAAGCCCAAATCAAACAATTCTTCTTCGCCCTTTCCTTCACGTCGACGTTGGAGATGGGCTTCAAAGTGTTCGTTGTGGTGGATACGCAGGAAAGCTTCGATCTGGCGAGCCAAGAAGGTGAAGAGATCCTTGGAGGTGCCGGAAGCCATCAATTCACGAGGGATCATGATTTTAGACTGTGTCAGAGAAAAGGTAGTGTCGCCGTGTAGATCTACTGAGCACACGCGAAAGTTGGTACCGCCAAGATCTACGGCTAGGTACAGTCCCTGTCACAACAAAGGTCAGACATGCAATTGTGATGTAAGAAACAGGTTTTTTAAAAAAAAATACCTTCTCTGTGCCATTTGGTACTGAGGTAACGAACGTCGGGATTTGGCTCAGAGTTGTGCCCTCCTTGCTCAGTCCTTCATCCATCTCCCGGATGTACTCTTTCACCCCGCGTTGGACCCCCTCGGCGGGGAGGTCGAACTGGCGGGCAATCCGCGCAGCCTCGTCCAACAAGGCGGATGACATTGTGGGAAGCGGGAGGAAACGGAAGTCGGATAGTGGGGGATTAGAGGGTTTGAAAAGAAAGTTGATAGAAGGATAAGTAGAGGGGTAGCAGGAAGTGAGGTTATAGGAGGGAACAACACGAGGAGATGTGGAGGGGTAGAAAATATGGCGGGGGGGAAAGAAAGGGGAAAAAAATTATTTTGCTGGAATTATATAGGTTGCATGGTATGCAAGCGATAATATTGAGGGCGCATACGTAGGGAAGTGACGAAGAGGGGTCGATGAGGTCAGTCAGTGGGCCAGATTTAGTTCTAAAGACGTCGAACCAATGGGGTTTCCGGGTTCGCCGGCGCTTCTCTTCACTGAGACCCTAGAATTATTGCATATTTTCCCGAACGTTTCGGGCCCCAATAGATCTGTCTTAGCATTGCATGGCGTGGATGCAAATGGAAGCCTTGATGGTAGCGAACCCATACCATGACGCTATGAAACCGTGTGGGGGGTTTTACCGGTGAGAAACAATGGTTAGGACGGCGTGTAGACACGGGGAAGACACGGAAGGGAAGGAATGATCTTTATTGGTGGTGCAATAGACGAGGAGAATACTACCACCGATGTATACTAGTAGTATACTACAAGAATGGCCTTATCACGTCCGATGTGAGCGTTCTCCGTATGGAGTACTAGTAATCTGGGGTGACATTTAGAGGCTGACCTGCATGGTGGTTAGGTGACAGAAGGTGGGGAAGTGCCTGGCAAAGTTACGCCGATTCCTTATTCCATGGCTGTCGAGTAACTCCTCCCCTCTCAGTAATTGTGCCTCTCTCAAGAGTACACCGCTGAGAAATCATATACTCTTTGTTTGACGCTTTGTATACACAGAGGAAAAAATCATCTGCCCTATTTTCACTTATCAGAAATCCGTATTTCAGCCACTGATGGTAACCCATGATCACGTTACACTTTATAACCTGATCCTATAACACACTAGTCCTTGATTTGGATTCTCTGCTACTTGAAATTACCAACTACTAAGTACCACTACCGAACAACAAACACGGCAACAATGGTTACTACACAGTACAAATCTCGATCACGGTACAGGGTTACATTCCGACCCGAACAGGCCAATTGAGACGCATTGAACAACAGCCCCCATGTAATCGTTTCAGGCCTAGATCAATCCTAAAACGCAAAAGAACTAGAAACAGGGCCGAGGGAGCAAAAGAACAAGAGAAAGACCAAAGAGTACACATCATTTGACTCCATACTACTTCCGTGCGCAAGCAGCAGCATACAACAAATGACTAAGCGTCACGTGATATGCACCGGCGGAAGTCGGCTGCTGCGTTGAAACGGCGATATGCGAACTCCTCTGACGACCTTGGAATTGCCCAGGCCCTGCTGTCTCCGCTGTCTTCACGGTGTTAAAATCGGAGCTTTACTCAGGCACCGACAAGGACTAAATTTGTCTTCCTTTCTAAAGATCCAAGGGAAGGGATCAATTTTCATTAATTAAACACATAATGGGCGCCGGTAGCTCCAAGCCTGACGCTTCGGCGGGCTCGAAACATGTTTTTTCGAGGTATGTTTACGTTTGAACTGTCGGTCAATTGCTTTTTGGGTGGATATTTTGCCAGTCCCGGGTATGAAGTAGGGAAGAGACGGGCATTATTCGTACCTTTAAATGAGGCAGGACACTTCACGCCGGATAATGGGTAGATTCGAAGAGGGAGAGGGACCAGACACATTTCCCCCCAGATACAATGCGGCCTTCAAATCGAGTAAGCTAACACTGTTGATTTTTATAGCGGTGGCCCCGTCCAGTTCTCATCTAACCTTGTCGACAACCTCCAATCCAACACCGAGGTACGTATATATCCGCCAAAAAACTTTCAGAGGAATTACCGAAAACAGCCAATTGGCAGCCAAAACTAACCAGAATAGACGGACTCCTCTCGCGCAAAGAGCATCGAACTCCAGATTCAGGCCCGCGTAGCTCAAGAGCTTGAGCGTCTCCGTCAACGCGAGCAGCAGACCCTTGCTGAGATCGAGAAGCGCATTGCGGAATCCAAAGACAGTGCTCCCTCGTCGTTCTCTTCTACACCAAACGTCAGCTACCCCCCTGGCTCGCTGAACCTGGACGCTCCCCGGATCCCCTTCGCAGGCCGCGAATACACCCCTGCCCCTGTCCCCGAAGCGCAGCCCATCAACCGTGATGTGTCCCGTGACTCGGTGAACACCGAAATCGAGGAACTGCGTGCTAAGCTTGAGGGCCGGAGAAAATTGGTTGAGATCGATGAGAGCGTTGAGAAGGCCAAGTCAAATGTCGTGAGCTGCTTGCGTTTGAATGACCGCCGGCCTTTGGACTGCTGGCAGGAGGTGAATGCGTTCAAGAAGGAGGTTGCCAAGCTTGAGGAAGCGTTCGTGGACCGGGTTGTTGGTTAGATGACGAAGTGAAAAACTATGTGTGTGTTACTTGACAATAGATTCCTCAGATCTCTCGTGTTATGTTGTGTGTATATGTTCCTGTATGTACCGGAATTAGGCTCAGGCTGTGACTATTACTTGCGTGCACTTTTTGGCCGCTTTATCGAGGTTACTCATGGTTTTAGTGGGTATTTTAAGATGGTTTTTTCATAGCATGGAACTGCGTATGCCATGTGCAGTCTATTTTGAACATTTGAAACCGCCAACTTAGTGTATCAATACATATGGACAGTTTTTCTCATTTCGTTATCACCTGTAGGGGCAATATGGATATAACGCGTAGTTAATTCTACATCTGAGATAGAGTCTGAACAAGGAAGAGAATCCTGGGCATCATATAATCGTGAGATAGCTTTCTATACCTACACAGCACATGCATTCAAGCAACCTCCCAATAACCCAGTCTTCCTACCCTCTCACCCGCTCCCCGAATGATGCACATGGTTCTCTCTCGAGCCTTGCACTTTCCGAGGGCAGCTGGTGTGACCTTCGACATCTGTATCGAACCAACTCCTGTGCCCTTACCTGCAGAGAGATTGAAATTCCCTGTTGTTATAAAGCCGATGAGGTCTTCTTCGGACGGAAGGGGCAAATGCTCCTGATGGATATCTGTATCGATTTGGGCAGATAGAAGAGCTGCAGCGAGACGCGCTTGGGGGTCTGAACTGGTGTTGGAAGATTCTCGGGCAGGTGACTTAGCACCAGTCGGTTTAGCTGATGCAAAAGAAAGCCATTTCTGACGAAGCTCTTGGTTGGTGGTAGGTAGACGGTAGACTCGAGCTCGTGGAGTAGGGGTGCCTCGATTGAATAAAGAAACCCGTACAGTCGCAAGAGCTGAGTTGTCAACATTCGAATTCTGGTCTCGGAGTGCGCGGTCGGCTTCGACTGGCTGTAGGTGGTGTATACCGAGCGGAAGACCATCCGCGAAGGCTTCCTCGTCCTTGCCATCGTGTCTTGTAACATTTTCGCCCTCATTCTCCGGTTTTCTATACTTTTCATTGTGATCGCTGGCGTCAGGAGCTCCAGCACCCTGGACCAGTCTTTCCCAATCACATGCCCAACCCTGGCCAATCTCGCCTTTCTGGTCAGTTCCCAAATCAATACTGTCGAATTCAACTCTCCGTCCCTTAGGCCGTCGTTCCCATTCCTTCTTTGACTGTTCTCGGTCACGCAAGCCCCATTCCCACCCAGCGCGTGTGCCAGGAAAATCACCGGGAAACCAAGGTTCTCCTGCTTCAAAAGCGAGCTGTTGCTGCTCTTTTAAACCACCAAGTCTCGGGTTTCCGCCACTTGAGAGAGTATAATACATCAACGCATACCACACCGGAAGAACGCACTTCCAAGGGAGCAGTACAGTCCAGCTACCTGGAGCATTGTTATCCTTCGTTTGAGCTCTGGGTCGAGTTGCAAGGAGCATCACCGGGATTTGTGGATCCGTATCTCGAGGAGTTGGAAGGCGCCCAGGTCCAGCTTCAGCTCGTCGCCGATTGATGGCTTTTTGGCTTGGCAGTTGGCGCACGGCAGCCAAGCGTGCACGACGGTCAAAAATAGAAGGCGTTGTTTGTGTACGATCAGGTGCCCAGGACGACAAAGTCATAGCCAGGTCTTGCATGTCCTTCTCAGAGGAAGGGGGTCTCAAAGTTTTGTGTGGGAAACGGAGACGAGGATCAGATATGGAAAATGCAAGAAGGGCATTTTGTGGGAGAGATGAAGGATTCGAGACACCCAGTAGAGAGTTCCACGTAACTTCCGGGGTGTTCGATGGTTTATCGTCCTCATTCAACTCGACCGGCCTCAGCACCGCTAACAGAGCTTCGGTGGAGCCCGGACCTGTGATATCAATGCTGCCAATTTCGAAACGAAGATCTTCAATCATCACGGGAGGGTTCTGTCTCTTCGAAACCTCGAGGAGCTCATTCCACAATTGTAAGAACGCAGACGGATGTACTCTGATAAAAATTTTCTTCTTATCTTTTATGGAGGTTTTTTTCTCCGCAGGTTTAGCATTTTCCGCATCCAACATGTCAACATCTCCCGTCTTTCCTTCAGCACATCGAACCAAAGTCACTGGCGCAATAGGTCTCCGTGGCCCATCGCGCTCATAAGTCCACACCTGCAAAGCCCTTGTTCCGGATCTCCATTTTTTGCCCTTTGGGCCCCATACTTCATTCCCGTCAACGCCAACGGCTCTCAGAACACATTCTAATGCGCCTTCCGTTCCCTCCAGCTGAATAGTAGACATATAGCTCATATCCCAAGCCACAGCGCCCCTAGCGCCCCTTGCCCGGTGAGACGGTCGGTAACTCTTCTCGGTCGGGGACAAAGGAATGGCGAATCGCCACAGCGGATCTTTAGACGTAGCCATGTGGGCTCGTTTTGCATGAAACATGTGCGTAGGGAGCCACGTCTTGCATCTTTGCCGCTTCTTGAATTTGGACTCTGGCGGGGGTGGGCGTGAGAGCTTATTTTTCTTGATTTTAGGGACACGCGGAGCAATATCAAATGAGTGACTGCCCGCCTCTTCCAGCGACTTCTGGTCCTCTTTATCACGCTTAGCTTTCGAATGAGCTCTCCTGGCTTTGGTCTTGGAATTGAGGTTTTGGAGACGTCTGGCGGTTTCAAGACGGATGCGCATGGCCTCTGTTGGTTTCCTCCGACGTGCAGTTACAGTTGGTGTGTTATCTTCCATCATCTATTCAGGTCACAGATTTTTAGCAAGATTTTCCACATGGCTTAGTCTGAGCCCTCACTGGGACCATCCAGTTCGTAAAACAATCAGATATAGTTCTAGCATACCTCTCTCTTCGCCCTTGCCCTCAACCTACTTGGCACCCTCTTCACATTGTGGCTAGCCGTTCTCCTCCTCAACGATCGAGGTACTTGCTGGAACGCGCGACTCGTCAGGGCAGCCTTCGATCGTTGCATGCCCGACTCCAGGGCACGAATTTCGAATTCACGAGCTTCGAGATATGCGGCAACATCGAGTTCTCCGGAAGCAGAAAGGGCAGATTCGGCTGACTGCGCAGCAAGTGTGCGGGCATCGAACGTTTTGGCGCGCTTCCGAGCTGCTGCGGAGCCATTTTGTGCTCCTGCATGGGCGGACTTGCGCTTCGAAGCGGGGTTGAGGGCCATTCTGGCCAATGGAGGTGTTGGAAACTGGGCAGGACGTAGTTAAGAAAGGTATACGATAATAAAGGAAAACCAACTCTGGCTGTTGAAATAAAGTGGCGCTAAATGTGGTCTGGAATTAAAATTCTATGTCATAGCTGTAGGAAAGTGGTGCTCGGAAAGCTTTAGCGCGTCACACGCCAATGATAGACCGCTAGCCTGCTTTTAGTAAAAGAGCATAGGCCCGGCCCCGGGCCACCATATCGCAGCCAACGTGTGGGGAAGTCAGGATGCGAAGGTACTAAAGTTAAGTCTATTGCTTCAAACAGAGTCGTTTCACAGGAGAAAAGGTAATTGATTCTTGTCTGCCTAAAACTAGCTGATCTGTTCCTTTGATTTCTGTCCTTCCTCCTCCGTTCTTTATTGAAAGAGTAACTACTCCGTAGTAGTTGGCCGCAACAGTGACACCACATACTATGTAAGAGCTAACGTCTACCCTAAGGGAATATCTTCCTTTGTGCCTGGTAATAAAAAGGTACGAGTCAACTATAGATGGGCGTACGGGGTGAATATGTCCTCCCTAGATATGTCACTGCGCAAATTTAGTCACAGATATCCCTCAGCAGCCTCCTCCTAGCAATATTTATTGAGAATCACCAAATGCCTAATCCTTCTCTTCAAACAAATCAAGTCATCCCGAGAGCTTGTGCATACAGACATCCCCAAAAATTGGGGATGGGAGATTGTTGATCATCTCAATAACAGTATCGAGAGACCTTGTCGGTAATAAGAACATTATACTCAAATCTACACTCACTTAAGCTTAAAGTAATCTTGTTATTTTCAGGAAACATTACAATCCAGTCAAAGGAGTCTTCTGGGTTCGTGTCATGCCAGAAGAAATCCATGACTGCCATCAAAAGTGGTGGCACGATCAGCTGTTAAAATGGATTTCAACTGGACAAGAGACTCAGCAATGACATGTCATACATTCGGAACCAGTCAGTGTATCTTGTCTGATTTGTGTACTGCACTGTTGCTAATATCTACAGCCTTCAGCTCCTTCCAGGGCCCGTACGTGGGCTCCCGTAAAGAGCCAGATTTCTTCCTGCGATCAGACAGCATACGTATGCCCAAATTCGTTATTGAAACTGGCTGGAGTCTTGGAGCAGACTACAGCATAATATGAACCTGTGGCTTGTCGGCGGCGCTGGAGATGTTGGTGCGGTACTGTTGTTGAAATGGAAACGGATTGGTGATTCGAACAAGGCCCGAGGCAAAGCAGAGCTGTATGCTTTGGATTGAAACGGGATTCCAGTCATGGAAGACTCAAAGGTACTGTACTCGAACCCTTTCACAGACTCTCTTCTATTGCATTTAATCAAGCATGGGTCATATTCCCTATGCCATCTCTGCCCTGTGGCCCCCCGGAAAATATCTCTATCTCGCGACGCCTTTTACTGGGCCCGGGTTGCCAGGGGTCACTGGACTGGGACATCAACGACCTCCGCCGGATAACAATTACTGCCCTTGGCTTTATGGGTTCGGTGCCAGCCCAAATTAGATATTGACAACCAAATCTCACAACCTCCTCCATATGGGTCCTTCTATTCCAAACAGAATTAGTCATGGTTAGATCTTTGGAGACCGGGCTAACGGAGCTAATTCGTACTACGCGATATAAGGTTATCGATTGACATCATACTACGGACAAAGGAAAAATGTTCACGATTTCATAGCTTCGTTATTTATTGTATCTCTAAAAGTGGGCTGTCTATTTCTAAAATATTAACCCCACTGCTGAAACGCCAGCATCCTCTAGTAGTCCTACGTCATATTCCTTGTTCCTGTTGATGTATTTAGAGGTTCTTGATGACGGTCTCAGCGCGCGAGAACTGCGATGATAGTGAGCGTGTGTTCAATTAAACAGTCCAAGAGATTGCAGACGATGGACACTTACCTCGAGGTGGTTCTTGGCGGGCTCGAGAGCAGCGTAGGTGACCTTGCCGTGGTCAATGACGATGGCGTAGCGCTTGGTTCGGCCCTCCTCGTCAGCCCAGCCGAGGCTCTTGGAGAACTTGGCCTCGGGGTCGGAAAGGAAGAGCTATAAGGCCAGTCAGCAATGGAACCTAGTAGCTAAATGTGATGTAGGTAATGAACATACGATGTCGTCGTTCTTGACATTGTTGGCCTTGGCCCAGGCGCTCATGACGTAGGCATCGTTGTAAGCAAGGACAGCAACAACGTCGACACCCTTCTCACGGATCTCAGGGAGTCTCTCCTGGTACTCGGGGACGTGGCGAGCAGAGCAGACGGGGGTGAAGGCACCGGGAAGAGCGAAGAGGATGACCTTCTTGTCGGCCCACTCCTTGGAGGCGTTGTAGTTGATGGGGATACCGCAAGCGTTGAACTCCTGAGCCTCGGGGGTGTAGGGGATGTAGCTTTGGTAGAATGTTAGTATCAACACAAGAAGGTTCAAAGGGTGGGATTAGGAACTTGAACTTACGAGAAGACAACGTCGGAGGGGAAGCTGTCACCGGCCTTGATTCCAGACATTTTGATTGAATTGGTATGTGAGATTGAGTTGAAACTTAAAAAAAGATAAGTGGTTGTGGATGGGAAAGGGTGTTTATTTATGTGATGTGGGTGATGCGGAAAGTCAGAAGAGAGGAGCGAGGGGCAGGAGCATGTGGCGGTTAATATATGGTTGATTCCCTTTCGGAGATCGCGTCCCACGGGCCGTACGAGGCACACCTAAGGTGATCCAAACCAGAAGGATACCGAATCTTTTCGATTGGAGGGCTTAGGTGTGCTGTATTATCAAGAAGACCGCCCGAGACTGAAATGCCCCACTACCCTTTACTCATGGTTACCAAGGTACGTATTGATCCGACGAATCTTTTTCACTTGCCTAATGAAGTCATCCCGGGCCCACCGTACGGAGAAAGTGAATTGCCATCCTTTATGCTATGTATCTTACTTAATCCTTACTGTACCTCCATTCCATCTCCTCAATGATGGCGTTATGGGATCTTGAGATGAGGATTGTTTGTGTCCCAATGGCGAGGAAGGTGGATCTAGTAAGCCAATTTTGAGCCAATCGCGGCTATACCCCGTATGCATAGCAACCACTTCGGTAGCCTTTTTCCTTATCTAATTGCTCTCTGGCGTGTTTGTTCCGAGACGGCTATTGTCCTCCGTACGGAGTATGACCAAAGGGGAAAAAAAAAAAAAAAAAAAGGGACCTTGAAATCTCCGACTTTCACCGCCTACCGTCTGCCCCTCGTTTTCACGTGACTGGCGCATGTACAGACAGTGGCGTAGCTTTATTACGTTTTAATTTTTTTAAATAAAGACAAGTGCTATGTCATGAAAGATTCGGTTTCTATTTTCCTGGTTCATGAAAAACCAGGTCAAAAGTAAGATTAGTACCTAGTAAACTAAGTTCGACTATCTTGCCACTCGGACCTGAAAAACTTCGGAGGCATCCGAGGGGCGGAACCATCCCGAGACAGAAAGATCTGATAAGATTTGTCCATACTCGTAGGAGTTCCATCAGGGGGAAGCTCAGTTTTGAAGAATTCGGTCATTCGCCGTCTTGAAGCACCAATCTGTATAGGTTCCGAAGTACAGGTAACCTTTCAAAACTCCAACACCCAGGGCTTACATAATAGGTCTAGGTTGGGGCAAAGGATATCTAGCCTGGTTCGGGATTACACATCAACAAGGTTCTAGAAGCAATACGCTTTCTTATCTGGACACGCTGAGCCAATAGTTTGTTAATAATTCCACGACTTTGAAGATTACTAACCGCACCAGAAACTGTCTAAAGGGGGGCCGGGGGAATGGCCACATCCTTGTAAGGCTGTATCTTTCATGACGTTTGTGTTTGCGTGAATATCCGTCATGTTTATTTATACGTAACATTCATGTGGTATGTTGTCAGTAATTTAGCGTCTTGCGGGATGTAGGTATCGTTAATCTATCTTGGATTCTCTATAGCTAAGTCTCAAAGGCCGTTGCAGTTCGAGGACATGTATATACAAATATATAGTTTGGCAGAGAGTTATGTACCGTCCCCAACATAGGTACTAACTCATAAGAGATGCAAACAAAGCTTTGACACTATGGCAGCATTATACATATATAGCAAGCAATTTTCTCTTTTTAAAATAAAGGAAAAAAAAAAAAAAAAACTTAAGATGGTGATTTATAGGTAGCCTGGTACGCACTCCTGCAACATATCACGAGCTAGTTGAATTTTGGCATATGTGCTTTATGGTTTACCTCACAGAAGCGAGTACCTATACCCCAAGGAAATGAGATGTTACACCTTCATGTATACCAATTAATAAAAGGATGTAGGTGCATATAAGTCAAAGTGTACGATTTCGAGAGCCTAGTGCTGCCGCTCTGGAAGCTCGTACAGACACATAAAGCCTGGAATGATGTCATGTGGCAAAGATGACTCCATACACAGAGCTTTCTCTCCATGTACTGTGTATTTGCCTTATACTTTGCGCTTTGTATGTGAACCTGATGTTCTTATAAAAATTGTAGTAGTTTCGGAAAAGCGCAGTTCTGATGTCGACTACGCTTCAAACCCCGAACTCTATGTATCGGCCGAAAGATGTCAAAGTGCAACCCCATAGCTTTAATTGAACGTACCTACATAAGATAAGACTAAAACGATAACTTGCATAAGGCTGACACGTGACAAGGCTTATATACATGTCCCACATTACTTACTAAAGTCTTACTGTGACTCAATCTGATGTACGCACACACTGCCGAGAAAGGAATTATACGCTGTTGAGGTCGTGCGTTAGATCAATATGGCTGACATCAAACCACCGTTCACCGAGGAGTCGGCGAGAAAGAAGGTCAAAGCAGCACAGAATTTGTGGAATACCCAGTAAGTATAGTCTACCTTGAGCTCCAACAACCATCCCTCTGGCCCTTCGTGCTTGGTCTTAAATGTAGGGATTTCATGGCATTTTATCCCATGCTGGCACGAGGGGCTGTAGTTATCCCCCCATGACATGGTTTTGATGTTTCATCCCTTGCTCGTAGTTATGCGACCACCTCGTGGCTCAATTCATCTGTCTCCACTTTATTTGCATCGCTCTTTCCCCTTCATACTCTCTTTCAAGTTTCAGTCGCATTGGTACAGCTTACTGTACTGAAAAACCGGTCGCCTTCTACTTACAATATGTGAATTAGAGACCCAGTACGTGTTGCTCAAGCCTATACACCAGATTGCGTTTGGCGCAATCGTACTTCATTTTTCTCCGGGACGGATAATATCACCTCTTTCTTAACTGCAAAATGGAAACGTGAAGCAAATTACAGGCTTCGGAAGGAGCTGTTTTCCTTCACTGACGACCGTATTGCGGTGCAGTTCTGGTATGAATATCAAGATGTTGAAGATGGGATGCGCTGGAAGCGCTGCTACGGCCTCGAGGACTGGACCTTTGACCGAGAGACAGGAAAGATGAGGAAAAGGATGATGAGTGGTAATGACCTGGTCTTGGGACCTAATGGGAACGGGGAAGGGAGGTGGTTTGTCGATGGTGTTGATGTTGAAGATGTGGTGATTAGTGAGGAACATTGGTGATGAGCTTAAAGTCCAGCTTTTATTGCACGATTCGACTCAACCGTTGCGCAATTTTACAAAAGTGACATGCCAAGTCGATGATGACAGCGACCTTCCCTAATTTCCGACTTTTTTGGCATATTGATTCACACGACGTACCAAGCCCTGGCTCATTCTTTTAGTTCGAAACTAGTTTACCTGCCAGTTGGGTGATCGGCATCTTCTTTGATTGCCCAGAAGAGCTTAGCTTTAATGGACCTGTGGGAACTTATCTGCAGGTGATGAGCATGCCTGGAATGTCTCATTCGCGGTATTAGGATCATCGTCCCTCTCGTTGAATGTCCTCCCTCCCTCCCTTGATTCAGAATCCCTCCCCTCCCCCTTCCCCAACCCTAATGTTGATATTTTGCCATCAAGGATATTATTATGTAAAACACAAAACCGAAAATCCAAAGAAAAAGAAAAAAAGAAAGATACAGATGTTGACCACTTCATGAGATAATGCTTTTACTGTCGAGAATCTGCAGCGCTTCTGGAAAGCCCAAAAGGAGGAATGTAGACTCGACTGGAACCAGCCACTGTAGCCTGTCAGCGTTGACCAATGTATTCGATAACCGATCACACAAGCAAATCCCTGGTGGGGACTTCTGTATGCTACGCGTAGCAAGGGGTGTGCGCTGGCTGTTTACCACCGCGATTCACCTTTTCTGGTCCGCCATGCCCAGGTATACTACAACTGACTTGTGCTCGAGTTCATCTGAAACTTCTAGAGTTCAACCTTGACCAATATAGACTTTGTATGGTAATCAAATTCGAGTGAAGCATGCTCCTCTCTCAAACCTGGAAACATAGAGGGTTAATGTAGTACATTCCAGAGAGTGAGATCTCCCGATGCCCGGGAGACCTGAGGAATTCAAAGGAAACAAACGCTTCAACTCCCATTCCGCGACCGACTTTGAACTCAACATGGTATGCTCTAATCCAACTCGCGTGCCGTGTTTGCTATGGGTGGGAGTTGGGTATGCTCCCTGGAACCCTTGGAGTGGAAATCACTCTGGCGCGTTGAAGACTGTCGGTTATCCTTCTCAAGTGCTCTCTGAATCGCCAATACAACAACAGTCCGACTGTATACTGGCGCCAACCCGTGTCGCCAATATACCCCACGCTCTCTACCCGTGCACTCGCTAATACGTGTTTGATTTTCGGCTTGGAGATAACTAACCTAAGGCGACTCAAAGCGTAATTTGCAAGTCTGCGCTTCTATTTCGTGAACGGGAGTTCCTGGAGCTAGTAGGTATAGTGACAGTCTATCACTTTTCTACGTTGCTTTCAGAAATCCGCGTCAATTAGATTTTCGTCTGGTCAAGGTGAGCTGAAGACGCCTACGTGTAGACGGAAATCTGACCCAGAATTTTTATCTAACGATATACAGTTTTATCGAGGAGAATTTCCACATGTGGCCTGGCAGTGATTGTACCCAAGCGTCGTGTTAGCCTGCGGTTACATGGCAATGGAACAAAAGGCTGCCCCTCTTAGTCCGGAGTCCGTACGAACGCCTCTTGTCGATGTTAGCAACAGAGTCAACATTTATCGCAGCCCAAGTTTGGTACAAGAGGAAGGATCAATGGGAGACCTCCAATATTTGAGCTCGCCACAGCCAATGTCTATAGTGACTAGCCCACCCGAACAGAGAGGATATGTGGATAACAACTGTCTTTCGCCGACGGCGAACGCGAAGACTTCATCTAAGCGGAACTCGACCTTGTCAGCGAAGTCGATCATTTCAAACCAAGGAAAGCGCAAAACCCATATCGGACCATGGCAACTGGGGAAGAATCTTGGGGAAGGCACAACAGGTCGGGTGCGACTAGCTAAGCATAAGTATACTGGGCAAACTGCGGCAATTAAGATAGTGTCGAAGACGTCTGCGGCGATGACCCAGAGTGTCAGTATTGCAGCAATGGACAAGAGTAGAGGGCTTCGCGGTAAATCAGGGGCCAGGCAAATGCCATCTGGAATCGAGCGGGAGGTCGTTATCATGAAACTTATTGAACACCCAAATGTCGTCCGTTTGTATGATGTGTGGGAGAATAGAGGTGAAATGTAGGTGGGCCTTGAGGCTTCGACCATAGCAGTACTGACATCCGACAGATATCTTGTACTCGAATACGTTGAGGGCGGGGAGTTGTTCCACCACATCACAGATAATGGACCACTTCAAGAATTCGAAGCAGTGAAGTTACTCCGACAGATCCTTGCTGGCCTTGGATACTGCCATCGCTTCGGTATCTGCCACCGAGATTTGAAGCCGGAAAATATTCTTTTGGATTCACAGGGCAACGTGAAACTTGCTGACTTTGGAATGGCCGCTCTTCAACCGGAGGGTTATTGGCTTAAAACATCCTGTGGAAGTCCACATTATGCTGCCCCGGAAATCGTTAGAGGTGATGATTACCGCGGCGATATGGCTGATCTCTGGAGCTGTGGTATTATCCTATTTGCGCTACTAACCAGTTATTTGCCCTTTGATGGCCACGACCTAAGTAGCACGTTAAAGCTGGTGAAAACAGCCAAGGTTGAGATTCCAGCGGATGTGAGCTGCGAAGCGGCGGATCTCATTCACAAGATCCTTCAGAAAAAGCCAGAGAAACGAATCACTATGGCGGATATTTGGAAGCACCCTCTTTTGAGGAAATACGAATGCTTAGACCCAATAATGTCTAATCCTTGTATAGGCCCTGCACCTCCTTGGTCTGTGCAGGAGTGTGGACCGCGAATTAGCAGACATGAACTGGAGTCGGAGTCTGATATATTAAGGAATCTTCAAACATTATGGCACGACGTGGAAAAGGAGGTCTTGATTAAAAGAGTATTGGATCCAGAGTAAGTTTTGTTCCCTACGATATAGCTCCGCTCTCCTGTTTGATTCGTGCAAGTAGAAGTTTTTCTTGACTGACAAGCCTACAATAGACCGACTCTTGAGAGGATGTTTTACAATGCTCTAGTCAGGTTTAGAGATGAGCATTTGGAGAGCTGGCCAGGACAGACTCTTGAGTACTCGGCCAGTGACTATCACCATATGTCCAAGGATTCAAATGAAACCTTCATCCAACGAGATAATCGCCGCTCTAGAGGATCCCGCCGACGTGGACAAGTTCCCATAGGCAAAGCTGGTCAATTAAGGAGCAATGCTATTCAAGAGCCAAAATCCTGCGCAACTGTGGGGAGCTATGATCCCTTCCGCTCACCATGTCATATTGTGCCCGAAAAAGAAGGATATACCCAAGTCACAATCCATAGGGACCTTCCGGACAATGCAGGCAAGAGGGAAGATTCTGATGGAATTGCAGAGTCAAGCATCATATCTGAGGAAGACTTTAGAGACGAAACTCCATGCCCCCCAAACTCTCCTTTTGCGATTGTACAGAACAAGAAAAAGCCGAGCTCTCTGAAGTCTTTCCACTCAAGAACCTCACATGTCGGCAACCGACGGCAACTCAACGGTATGACAGCGCCTCGTTCTGCAAGCTACAAGCGAAATGTTTGTTTCCGCCACATGAGAAACCGTTCACATGGTTCAACAACTGCAATAAAAATGAAGAGTTTCCCTACAAATGTCCCAGATAAGGACATGAGCGAGAACAGTCTAGTGTCCGTAGACGCCGGCCCCTTCGCTGATCGGGAAAACAGCCCACTTTTGCCTGCCCAACCAGCTGTGGTACGAAGGCCTGGTGTTGCGTTGAGGGCGTGCGCCCCTCAGAAGAAGGTGCGCGAGTCTGACTTTATCTGGAAGGATGATACACGCCAGGTGTCGCATGAGCTTAGCCAAATCTGCGAGGAGGCCTTTAATCGCGCCTCACTGTCAACAGGCTGCACGACAACAAGTACATGCATGAGTGCAGAGACCCCCGCGACATCGGTGTCTATGGCTAGTCCTGAAGCATCACATAGTCGTATTGCTACTAGCAATTCAAGAGTTCTAGTGACACCGCCCCCAAGATCCTATACTGCTGCAGAGTTGACTGAAACGCGCCGTAAACTCATTGCCCATTCCACACAGGACGGCACCGAGGGCGTACCTGGATACCTTGTACCTGTGATCAAGCACCTTGATCGTCTTATCGAGCAAGACAAGGCGCGGCAGCGTGAGCAGTTCGTTACTCCCGAGCCTGCTACTGAACCAGCGGCACAACCTAGCGAACAGTCATGGGATATTGGTGGTCTGCCAAAAATATCAGAAGAGCGGCATAACCGACAAAGCAGCGGAGGAGGACAATATAAGCCGTATCGACCTGGTCTAACAACAAGCACCGGCACTAACACAGGTCGTCTCAACCGGAATGGCGTAGGAACTATCCGAATGGTCCCTCAAAGTTCTGTGCCTTCCTTGGAAACTATTCGACCTCTAACAATTCGCAAGAAAAGCGAAGAACCATCTTCTAATGATCATCACGAGCTATTTACGGACGGCTCCAACGAGGAAGATCTTGCACCTTGCAGATATTCTTCCTTAAACTCCTTCTATCCCCGTCAACCTTGTGAGCTGGATCCAATTGCAGAAATCCCGCCAAAGTCAGAGAAGCGCAACGCAGCGCGACATCCCGACAACAAGAAGTGGTCATGGTTACCCATCAAGTACCAACCACCTACAGAAACCGCAATCAAGAATCTGAAGCCGCTACACCCAGTCGACAGAACTGTCACTGTGCATCCTGTTGCAGACAGCTCAACCAACCAGCCAGAGACCCCAGGAGGAAAGACCAAAGGAGGCTTCTTCAGAAAGTTCATGAAGGGGAAAGCAAGTAACCGCAAGCATACTACAACAGGTCAGTAACGTCCAACAAATATCCTATGAAAATCACCTGACCAACCTATACCAGACTCCCAAATGACAGACACAAAACCCACACTCAGGAACTCCACAGAACATACTCGCCTGGTGAACGCAGACAAACCCCTCCCCCAGAGACCCGGTACCTCGCGCAAGCCCGTGAATTGGTTTGCACGCATGTTCCAGTTCACCCCTGCCACCAAGGCCCTCGCCCTCAACACCTCGAAAATGAAAGGCAGAAAGGAAGTGCACAAGATCCTCCGGGAATGGAAGCCCTATGGCATGAGCGTCCATTACGACAAAGCCGACGGCATAATCCACGGGAAAGTCACCAGATCCAATTGTAAGTCAACAACACCACACCTCTCCACACAAACACACTATCTTAGTATCCTAACCGTCACTCAGTCCGCCGGATCCGCCCCGTCGCATTTTCCGCCGAGTTCTACACCGTCCTCGAAGACGGCCGCCGAGGCAACCTTAGTCTGGTCCGATTCAAGCAAGAAAGAGGCGCAGTCTCATCCTTCAACCAGGTCATCGACACCCTGGACATGGTCATGAAGCAGCGCGGCCTGCTAGTGGAAGACCCAGTTCGTGCACAGCAGATGATGAAGGTCCTGGATAAATACCAGGACCCCCAAGGGAAATGAAATGAGTTCGCATCACTAGCACCTTCTTCCCTCCATTTCAGAGACCTACTCACTTTTCCCTTACCCCAAACACCATGTACCAACAAGCAAAGTGCAGAAGCACAAACATTTGTTCTAATTAATACCCTATTCACATTTATCCTTGTTATAATTCACCGGATCGGTTTTCTTTGCATACATGATATCTATCAGGTTTTGACCTCAGCTGCATGTTTGAAATTACCGGATGGAGTCTGGTCTCTCGTTTCTAATTCTCAAAATGTGTGTCCGTTTCTGTACCATTCATTTCTCGCTTCTATGTTCCTGGCCTTGTCTATTTTTCCTTTAAACCTTATTAAAAACCCCATTCGTTACACATTCACCCATCTCTTATGTCTTTAACCCACGTTCGTTCTACACCGGTCTCAACCTGGAGCCCAGAATACACACTTCATGTCTCATTGCAATCTCTTGACAAATATCCCTCCTCCGTTCTCACGCAGTCTTGTCTCTTCAGACAAGCAAGCAATTCGTCTACTATGTCCTTGGATCTACCAGAGGATGCTTGCCGTTCGTTTATGTTCCATGTTTGGTTTACAGGAAACGTCTCACAATAGGTTAGATAGAAATTAGGTTAGATAGGAATGAATCAATTGATATCTTCATTTATTTTCTGCTTCTCCGGGGTAGATTGTGGGAATGGTCTAGGTGCCATTGGAGCCTTGTAGACTGGTGTTCGCATGATATGATCGTACTTCAAGCCATCTAGATCCCTGGATCGCTCATGGTAGATAGATGATATACAAGGAAATGCTACTCTAATGGCATAAAAATACTATTAACCTGTATAGTTACTTACTCTGTACTATAAGTCAAGAAAAAATTAGACTCATAAACCGTAGCATTCGAAGAAAAAGTATGCACAATGCAATATAAAAACCAAAATCAACAAGCATTGGAATCTGCGAGTCATAAAAGATAGAAACAAAAATTGATCAGACAGCCTCCCAAGAATCACAAAACAGGTTATGACGGGAAATAGAAAGACGGGGGAAAATAATGATAAAAAAGATGACCTCCTTTTTCGCAATGGTAAATACCTTGATCACAAATAACAAGCAAATCGCAAACAAGCCGCGAAATGGAACATATCATGAAAGTACAACAGAGAGCCACCCGAAATGTATAGGAACACTAAGAAAGATGAAACAACTGCCGCTAGAGAAAAGAATTGAAAATGGTCCATCAAAAGAAAAAGACGAGAGGTAAATGCAGCAAAATCCCACCCCATGATTGGTTCCGTGATAGTCGACGCTGAAAGGCATCCATTTCCAGTGCATACAACACTCATTTTCCTAATCCTGCTTGAAACATACTCACCGATTTGGGCCACTTTTCCAAGACTGTTCGCATACACAAGGACAATAAACTTTCTGGGATGTACCAGAAAATTCTGTGCGGAGACTGCCTGTCAAATCAGACCCAACAACGCCGCGATAATTGGCATCTCAGGAACAGAGTCGGTCAAACAGAATGGCCCCGAAACGAGGGTGAGAATGGTTGCAGCGGCGCAAAGTAACCCTTAAACGCAGTGATATGGAAGACTGGATGCCCGAGAGAAAACAGAACGGAGATAACGACAGAAAGAAAATTCCATTAGTGGGTTGCCCCAGTTAGTTTATAAAGCCGTGATGATGTATTTCGCAAAGGGAAATTTAGGTGATAATAAAAGAATTGCGAGTTATCGACTGTCAAGTGCGAGGCCCGTCCGATTGAATCCGCAAAACTGACAATCCGCACTACCTTATTGGCAGTCATTGATGACCGACAACTCCCTATACAGATCGTGCAGCTCATAACACTCTTGCATCTCGTTTCCATGGCTTCGTAGCAGTCGAAAAAATGTTGTTATTTGTTGTTTTTCTTTTCTTTTTTTTTTTTCTTCTTCTCTTCAAATATCCCTTCCGCTGGAGGTATCGTTACCACTTCCTTGCGAACGACACTTTTTGGCCTCATCACCGTCATAGCCTGAGCCTGAAGTCGATCATCCACCCGGGTACTTGTTAGAATCTTCTGTCGTCGCCGTATGTTGTTTTGTTCCGTCCCGTCATCGGTCCAAGAAACAGGAGGATGCTTCGTTCTCGTATTGTCATGATACCTCTCTTGCTTCAATTTTGATGTTTCCCCCTCTCTTCTTCCCCGTAGCCGACGGCACAGTCGTATACCTTCCAAAGGCAAGGAATGCTTGCATATGACGTGTGGAGGACCGTGTGGCCAGCACACACAACCTTCCGCGTCAACCACCAACGAAACTGAAATCGATATCTGCAGCTCCATCCCGTCTATTCGCGCCAACTCTTACTCATCTACCCCAGCTCCCACCCAGACCATCATCGCGTAGCAGGAGTATCGAGAATGTGCCATGGAGGGCTTACTGATTCAAGCCCCGCCGGTTTAGGGCATTCAGCATATCACTGTCAGTGCTGGAACGGCCCTGGCTGTCTCCTGGATTCAACATGTCACGAACATTCAGGCCACCACGAGACGAGCTACCAGGAGTAGAAGTGGGAGGGGGTGTCATTGCGCTTTGACCAGGGTGCATAGGAGGATAGGGTGAATTGTGGGGAGACGAGGAGTGACGATTATCGTAAGGGTACGCCGACTGCGGAGAAGGACGTCGATCGTGCTGAGGTGGCGGTGGATAGTATGGACTTGAGGCAGAATGCGCTTGATATCCTGGCGCAGATGTTGCCGGCGTTACGGGTGCCAGATTGGTTGGATCAGGATACTCGAATCCAGAGCCGGAGCCGCGACGGCCAATAGGTCGCTGTTTGCAAGGGAGCCAGTGAGTAAAGGGTGCCCTTGACGGATAGGGATGGGCTGGAACTTACAGGATCTTGAGATGAGAGAGGTGGGGGTGCGCTTCCATAGGGATTCTGATACATTCCCTGCGGCGGGGGAAGTGTGGCATCCGGTGCAGCTTGAGGTTGTTGTTGGGGTGGTAAAGGCTGACCGTGGGCACCATAAAGCATTACCGGGGCACCGCCACGTGGTTGGTTCTGTGCGTTTCTCAGGTGTGGGTAGGCAGCATGTGCAGGAACAAAAGCTTGCGCCTGGGAGGAAACTGGCGTGAACATGCACTCTTGGTTAAAGCGGATACAGTTACTGCAACGCCCATCCTGAGAACTTTCGAATCCCGAGCACCTAATCTATTTACCGTTATAACCACCGTCAGCTCACAACTGCCTACTCAAAAACCGGACAATCTAGCCCATAGACCAATACTGTAGAAGCATACCTTCCGTCTCCGGCAGTAACGACAAGCGATAGCTGTCCGCTGTCGTGGAGCGGCAGCTTGGTAGACCACTTGGGGCGGAGGTGGTTGAGCGTAAACATCTGGTGGGCGATAGGCACCAGGGGGCGGTGGAAGGCGGTAGGGGTCTTGCGGGCCCTGAACATGCGGATGAATGGCAGCCATGTTTGGCGGCGGCGGATATTGTGACGGCGGCGGAGGATATTGGTGGTCCGCAGTTGGTGGAGGGTACGAGGCCGGAGGATACTGGATGCGACCACTGTGTCAGTGACCGCAGACTCAATTGCGAAAGGCAAGAATCGATGGAAATGGATGAAAAGATGAGGCTCCAAGAGACGGTGAGGAAGGAAGGGGAGGCTGATATATCACAGCAAAGAGGAAACGGAGCAACCCGTCGGCGCAGAAAAGGTCAGTGTTGGTATAAAAGAGTGAAACATACAGGGTATTGAGAAGCCGGCGGATAATGAGCGGAAGGGTTATCCTCAGGTTGACTAGTGTTCCACTGAGGTGGATACTGTCCCTGTCGATTAGGGTCGCTGAAATCGTGGGGGTTGCTGGACATTTGTAGTCGAGAGAGCGCGAGAGGCTGCTTAAGAAACGGAACGAGACGGGGGTGGGAAAAGGAAAAACAAATGCAGGATGATGTGAGAGTCGAGTCACGTCCCGCGGGTTGTTTGGTCGAAGCTGCTGGCTGAGCAGGGATGGTTGTCCGTATGTATTGGGTGTATGTATGGGGGTTATTGGTATGTATGTATGTATGTAAAGGAACGGAACGGCCGATCGTATGTAAGTATGTATCGGGGTATGTATGTAAGTACGGTACGTCTGTACGCAGTACGCAGGCCAAGTGTGTCTGTGTGGTGTGCGTGTGGTGTGCGGTGGTGCGTGAGAAAAAGTGCAAGTTAAGGCGACCAGGATTGGAGAGATGCGGAGTCCAAGCCGGTCAGAAAAGCAGTCCAAATCAAAACAGTTCCAGCTCCCGTCGGGTGATTTGCAAGGCTAGCATAGCCTCGTGGTCACGCTGGAACCAGACGGGGAAGTAATAAGGAAAGATGAGGGCCTAATCCACACAGGGAAGAGGAAGCCGAAGAGGAAACGCGGGATAAGAGCGCAGAACAGGGGGTGGGAGGCGAGAGGCGGTGGAGAGCCACCAAGGCAAATGAGGGAGACA